GCTGAGCTCAGTTCACAGAAGCCAGAAGCATTCATGCCCAGCTGGAGAAGACCACACTGGACGACCAAGGGGGGGGGGGTGCAGTGAGCTCTGGGGGGATGCCAGGCCTCGGTGTCTGAGGTGGAAGGGTCTTGGCAGCCCTCGTGGGCCCTGAAGGCCTCATGCAGGAGCGAGCTGGGGCCTCTTGGTGCAGCCCCCACCTTCCAAACTGGAGGCTGAGGCTGTGCATTGCCGAGGTCCCAGCTCTCCCCTGTGTCTGCACAAGAACATCTGAGCCCACGAGCTGCTCCAATCGGGAAGGCCAGGGGCCCAATCAGCCTTCCTTCAGCTCTTCTGCCCACTGATTAACCAGGAAATGTGTTATTTGTTCTGAGCAGGAGAACAAGCTCTCCTGGGGAGAGGAATTCGGGGCTGGAGGTCCAGTCACTTCCAAGGAAGAAAAATCCCCGGAATTCTGTTGGAAGTCTGGGTCTCAGCAAAAGGAACAGATATTCATCCCTTGTTTTTGGTCCTTATTTACCAACTTAGTTTAGGTTCCGGTAGCCACGCAGCTGCCAGCATTATCCTGACAAAACACGGGAAAGCGAATAGGCTGCCCTGGGTGTTTAGTATCTCACCATCCTGTGTTGTGGTGCTTGTAACCCAGCAAAGCTTTTCCTGCAGGAATCCTTTATCAATCCCTTCTGCCTCTCGGCAGGGCTCTCCAGAGATGATTTCCTTCCCCAGCCCCAAGCGATGGGTGAGTAGGCTTGGCAGCATTCTGTGCCTCACTGGGGAGGAAGCTGGTATCAGGGGTGAGGACGAGACACAGGGTGAGTCAGGGGCCATGCCGGAAATAGCTCGCCCCCCTTCTTGTCCTGGGCAAGATGGGTAGAGGGGGAGAGAAGATTCTGGTAACTCCATACCAGCAGGGACTTGATTGTGGGCTTGCAGGCAGGGAAGAGGGCTCGGGGAATGTGCAGTGGAGGGACGCAGGTGTGCCAGGAGCAGAGGGGCCGGGAAAGGTCCCCGTTCAGCTGTGAGGAGGGCTGCTGGGGCACAAGCCCGGGGTTAAAACAACATGGTGCAGGCTCACAAGCTTACTTAACAACAAGCCAGTAGCTATTCCCAGCCTCAGTTTCCTCCTTTGTCTGCCTGGAAATCATGATGCCTCCTTTGTTTTGTTAAATGAGCCAATTTATGTAGCATGCTTAGCACTGTGCTTGGGCCATCGGAGGCTCCATAAATTTTGGCAGCTTTAGAAAAGAAAAACAAACAAAAGTATGGGATTGGAGATTCTGAAGAGCTGTATCAAGGTCCCAACCGTTACAGGGGAGGGAGTGATGGGTGGTAAATGGGAGCCAGGACGGGAGGATGGCACCGGGGTGTGGCAGGAGAGTCCTCAGAGTAGATTAGCCAGGCTGCAGCCCCGGGAGAACAGGGTGGGAATTTCCAAGGACCACTTGTACTCACGGAGGAGTGGGCGGGGCGCCTAGTGGTGAGGGAAGTGTGTCTGCATGAGGGTTTTGGCCCAGGCCAGCGGTGAGAGGCTGAATGGGCGGCAGACTTCCAGAAGTGCAGACGGAGGAGATGGAGCAGTAATAATGACTTGGACACATGGGAGGAAAAAATAGCTCAGGGACAAAGATGACGCCAAGGTTTCTGGCCTTGGGAGGCTCATGGCGCTCTGAGGTGAGCATTGAGGGATGAAGAGGAGAGCTCCTAAAGGAATGGGGCAGGTAGTGGGAAGAGGAGGGAGCTCCCCCAGAGCTGAAGAGTGGGGTGGGTAACAGGGCAAGGGGATAAGTGTGGAGCTGAGGCTTTCCCAAAGCCAGGAAGGTGCAGTGTCTCGGGAGAAAACTGAACATTCTGGAAATTCCAATGGCATTCATCTCAAAACACAAGGCACAGGATTCAAGGAGATCCTTAGGACCAGCCTTGGAGGCAGCAAGCATGTGAACTTGGACCAGTAACTACCACCAGAAACTCAGTTTTTCTCTCCTAAAGTGGGTCTAATGATACCAGCCCTTTTTACTTGATGGAATCATTCTGTCATTCATTTACTTAGCCAACCGTTGAACACATATTTCTTGGTTGTCTGTTGGAGTCAAGCACTGTTCTAGGTTCTGGGGAAACAGTGGTGAGCCAGGCAGACAAGATATCTATTCCTTTGGAGCTTTCACTGTGGCTTGGGAAGTCAGACATGATTTTATAGGTTGTTGAACAGGATTCTTCTGTGATCTTTGAATTTCTGCTGAGGCCGCGAAGACTAGAATAATAAGTACTAGACACCTTCCTAAAGGCAGAACTGGTTCAACAACACTTGCACCACATCCCTGGCTTCCAGTCTACACATGAAAGGGATTGAAGAAAGTTGTTGAGGTAGGGAACTGTTGCATTAGTAGGCAAGGCTGAGATTTCCCCGGAGGGTACTCCTCAGCACAAACCAAGCCCCAAAAGAACCAGTCATAGAGCTTGGGGGCTTCCAAGAAGAGGAGACTAGCATGACTCCGCATAACTCTCTCTCCATGGAGGCTGAGTTGCTGGAGGTTGCAAGCACCCCCCAGTGACCCAAGGCACAGCAAGGAAGTTCTGGGGAGAACCTAACACGTGTCTTCAGGAATTGAGGATAGGCATAAATGAAGAGACTAGTGTGCACTTCCCGAATGGAGAACTCTGTGGATCCTGGCTGGAGTGGCTTCTATGGCAGAGTGAGGAGCAGCCAAGTCACCAGTGGTTTGCTGGCACGGACGGGCAATTCCCACAAGAGGCAGGGAATACAGGAGTCTGCAAGAGGCTGGCCAGAGAGTGCTTTGCTACAGCAGTGCAGGGTGAAGGTCCTGCAGGGAGACTTCCAAAAGCCCACAGATGTGTCCATGGAAGAATGAGAGCTTGGCACCTGCCAGCCAAGGGCACCTGTCACATAGGATTTTGCCACTGTTCCTCTAACACCTCTCCTCCAACCCTGACAAGGGGAGCCACAGCAGAAAAGGGAGATTAGAAAAACAGACCATGCGAGGGGCACCTGGGTGGCTCAGTCAGTTGAGTGTCTACGTCTTGATTTTGGCTCAGGTCATAATCTCTGGATCGTGAGATCGAACCCCGGGTCAGGCTCTGCGCTCAGCGGGGAGTCTGCTGGAGATTCTGTCCCTCTCCCTCTGCGCCTCCCCGGGCTCTCTCTCTCTCTCTCTCTCTCTCTCTCTCTCAAATAAACAAGTAAATCTTAAAAAACAACACAAAAACAGACCCTGCCCTACTTTCCCCACCACAGGATCTCAGGCCAAGGGATAGGCCCACGGGGGGAGGAGAGGAGTATTAAATTGGATGCAAGATTGATTAAACTGGATGAGGTTTTGATTTGGATAGGACCAGACTTTTTAGTGCCTGAAAATTGGTCTTAATTACAGAAATGAGACTGTTCTTGTGGCGGCGGGGATGGGCAAGCCAAGGACTTTGCTTGAGATGTCATTAAAGGTGGAGAAGGGAAATTCACCATACCATGGTTGAAGGCAGTGAGGGGAGAAAAATGTAGCTCTTTCCTCATTGTCTCTCTCCAAGTTCAGCCCATTCAGTAAGTCAGTTACACAGGTAAACAAATAAAAAAGATACTTTCAACTGGGCATTCAAGCAAGGAAGGTAAAGCAGGGTGTCGTGGTACACGTGGGAGGACTGCACTAGATTGGAGGCTCAGGGATGGCCACTCCAGGAGGCGGGTGATATTTGAGTTGAGAGGGGGAGCCATAAAGAGCTAAGTCTGTAAAACATCTTGGAGAGAAGTGCTCCAGGGAGAGGGCAGTGGGCATTAATGTGGCTTGTTCAAAGAGCAGAGACAAGGTTGCAAGAGAGGGGGCCCATTCATGCGGGGCTTTGTTGGCCAGAGTCAGGAGTGAGGCCGTAGGCCAACACTAGGTATTAACGGTGCCCATCCTTTGGTAGTGTGGGACGTTATCCACGGGTGCGCTCCTGCCTGCTCTGTCACTCTTCCTTTCTGGGAAACAGTAGGCTGTGGAAATGCACTGGGGATAGCACACTGGCCAGGCCTTCAGACTTGAGGGCAGGGGACTATGGCATGAATGATGAGCTCATTGTTAGAGGTAGTCAGATGGGTGGCAGTCAGCATTCTTGCACCCCGCCCCCTCGCTGCCAACTCAAGTTGTGAGCACACACCAGGTCAATCAGAGACTCATCGATTCCCTCCCACCCCTCCTCTGGGACATTCCCCAGGGTAGTCCAATGGGCTTCTGAGCCTGAAGCAGGAGGCCAGGATTTCATCCCCTTTTTGGACACATGCTGTTTCCTGGTGTGACCTTATTCAAAAGCCTCTATGTCTATACCTCTGTTAAAAAGATGGTATCTCTTCCAGGATCCGCCATCGCCGCCTCAGGCCTCGCCTGGACCCTGACGCAGCAGGAAAATGATTAAGATCTAGGAGGGCAGGCGGCGGCAGCGGCTGCAAGGTGGGAGAGGACGCAGCCAGCTCCACTAGAGGGCGCGCGCCCCCCGGCGACCTTCCAGCGCGCTCGCACCCTGCGGCGGCGAGGGGTAGGCGAGCACCCCGCGCTGCCCCGCGCTGCCCCGCGCTGCCCCGCGCTAGCCCACCCCCGAGCGGGCGCCCCCAGTGGCAGGGGCAGGAAGCGAAGGGGCAGGGCGTCGGTCCCTCGGGGCCCGGCCCTGTCACGCCGATCTTAATACCTCTCCTGGCCTCCTTCAGACCTTCGAGGCCTCAGCCTTGGTCATGCAACCGGGAGTTTGCTCTAGAGGCCAGAGGCAGGAGATAAATTCGGGACAGGTCAGCAGTTCGAGCTTGACCAGGACGAGAGAAAGGTGACCAGGCGCCCCTGTCCCGGCAGGCGTCGTCTCCCCTGCCAGCCGTCGGGTCAGCCCTGCGCTGCCCCCAGCTCCTCACGGGTTAACCCCCCTTCGCCGCCCGCTCGCTTCCCGGTGCCAAAGTGGGTGTTGCTGGAATTCCTCTCTCCCTCTCCCGTAATGAGGGGGCTGAGCTGTCCCTCCGAGGAGGGGGCATGGTGTAGATAAAAGAGACGAAAAAACAGGCGGAGGTTTCCAAAAATAAAAGCGTCCGTCTCCCCTTCAGAAGGCTGCAGAGACGGCAGAAGGCGCGAAGGTGCAGCTGCGGTGCGCGCCTGGCCGGAGACGAGCGGACGCCAGGCTCGGGGCGCGCAGCCCCGGGACAGCTCACGCCGCCCAGCCCTCGCCCCGGGAAGGCTGGCTTGGAGCCCCTAGACCGGGAGAAGCGGGCCGCCGGCCGGGAAGCAGAGCGCGGCCGCCGCAAGCCCCCGCGGCAGTTCCCCCCGCTCACCGCTCTCCAGTCGCCCCCGGCGCCATGAGGCCCCCGACCACCCACCGCTGGCCCGGGCGCGCCCTGCAGAACCCCTGCGGGGGCCTCCTGGCCCTCACCCTGGCTGTCTTCGTGGGCATGGGCCATGCTCAGAGGGACCCGGTGGGAAGATACGAGCTGGCTGGCAGGGACGCGAATCGGCTGCGGCGCCCCGGGGGCAGTCACCCCGCAGCGTCTGCAGCCAAGGTGTACAGTCTGTTCCGAGAGCAGGACGCGCCAGTCCGGGGCTTGCAGCCCACGGAGCGGGCCCAACCCGGCTGGGGGAGCCCCCGGAGGCCGCCCCGCGCGCAGCAGCCGCGGCGAGCCCAGCCACCTGCGCAGACCTGGAGAAGCGGTCCCTCGGGCCAGCAGCAACCCGCAGCCCGGGCCCGGGCCCGGGCCGCCCCGGCCCTCCCGCGCCTCGGAACCCTTCAGCGGCCCGGGGCTGCGCCCCCAACCCCGCAGCGGGGGCGGCTTACGGGGTGAGCACCGCAGAGGAAAGCCGGAGGGGGGTTGCGGGGGAGGGAGCGAGGGTGGGTCTCCATGTGCTCATTAGTGGAGGGATGTGCAGGCGAGAGGAGAGGGCCCCGGGCTCGTGTCCTTGGTTCTTCTGGGACCAAGGCGGCCTCAAGACTTCAAGGAAAAGCACGGGGGTCCCCAAGCTGAGGCTCGGAGACCTGACCCACTTTTGTAGAGTTGAGGGCAAAGAGAAACACCATCCTCACCCTTTCGTACCAGCTCGCCGAGACCTGACCTTAAATCCTTTCCCAAGGCGCCCATGCTTTCTCCTGCCCCCCGCTAACCAGTGCCCTCAGACTCCCGCAGCACAGCGGGGATCCGAGAGGGAGCCCAGAGGGGGCAGCGGGGTGGGCGTTCCAGTCGCCTGAGGCCCTAGAGTGGTTGAGCGGGCTCAGAACGCAGGTGGGTGGAGGACGTCGGGGCTCCAGAGTGCCAAGGCAGATGCATCTCCGGGAAGCGGGCTGGCAGCGAATCCTGAACTTGGCTACAAGTGTACGAGTTGGGACGCAGGTCGGGCTGGGCCCGCGCATGGCTGGACGTGGGAGGGGGAATGGCCTCGAGGGCACTTTGGGCCGGAAGCCCGCTCGTGGCGAGCTGTGGCACAGTGGGTACGTGGGAGAGGGGGTCTGTGTGTGCGCCTGTGCAGCTAGGTGTCAGCGCGACTCGCACAATCTGCAGGGCTGAGTCCCCCAACCCAGCGATTTGCTTTTTTCCCTCTCCCCCGGCACCCCTGCTGCCCGCTGGGGGCGCCCTCGCAGCGTCGGGAGGCTCGGAGGCAACCCCATCCCCTGTCGGGGATCCTCATGGCTGAGGGGCACTTGGCCTTGTCTGGGTATGCCATGTGTCTCCAGAATGGAGGGCAAAGGGAGCCCCGGGCAGGGCGGGGCTGGAGGAGGGCAGGATCCGAGAGGCTGGGAAGGGCTTTGGCAGCCCTGTATGGCCTGGGCCCAATTTACCAGTTGATTTTAGTCCCAGTGCACAGCAAGGACACTTGTACCTTCTGTTCTACTCTGGAGGACGGTGTGCCTGGTGGCCTTCTGCTTAGGTTTTCCTCGGCTGCTGAACTCTTCCTATTTCCCCAGGATTGCCTCCCTTCATTCAGATCTCTGCTCAGACAGGTCTGCTCTGACTACTCCTGCCCCACCCTCTCTCCCTTCAGGTGCTTTACCTGTTTCTGCGTTTATTGCCCACACCAACGTCAATTCTACAAAAACAGAGGCTTTGTTTTGTGCATTGCTGTTACTAGCGCCTAGAACAGTGCCTGCAGACAGTTGATATTTGTTAAGTATCTGTTGAATGAGTGAATGAACTCCCTGCTGCCCCAGGAAGGCCCAGCCTAAAACAGGTGGAGAGCAGACCCATGCACTGCCAAGTTGCTTACACACAGGATCAGTCAACAAGTGTTAATGGATCACCGGCTGTGTTTCAGTTTTTTCCTTTCCTGACGTGTACAAGTGAATACATGCTTCCTAAGAGCAAGTGTGCAGAGCCTGGGACAGGGGATGGGGGTTCAGAGACAAAGGCATTGTTCCTGCCAAGAGAGCAACTCAATTACTTAAAATGGAGTTGGAGAGATGAACAGATATGTACCAGTGAATGTGCTTAACTAGTAATGGTAGCTTCCTATTAAGCATAAAGGAATGGGACGGTTATGGCTGAGGAGCTCAGAGGAGCTGAAGTCCCTGTGGCTGGATGGGCAGTATTCAGGGAAACAAGAGAGGAGGTGGCCGGAGTGGGGCCAGGAGGTGTAGCACTGCCCAAGGATGAGGGCTTCTCACTGTTGGCACTGACCTGGGGGTAGGATGGCACCCTGGTGTAGGGAAGCCATTGGAATGAGACTGGACGCATAGGTTGGGCCAGATCATGGAGGAGCTTATAGTTTAGGCATTTAGGTGCAAGTTGGGGGAAGGTAGAATAGTGGAGGTTGGGATTGGAAGGGTGCACTATCAGAAGCTGTGAAATGAGGTGGGGATGTGCAAAGCAGATTGTCACCACAACAAAGCTGGTATATCGGCACAGGTGTGTAAGGACACGGGCTGGGTGCCACCCCTAGGCACCTGTCATACACAGGTGCACATATCGAATCACATGTTGGGTTTTGCTCCTCCCGCAGATTCTTTTCTGCAGCTTTGATTAAGGGTGGGTTCCTCTGGCAGTCCACGCAACCGCTCCAAGTGAGCTGAGTAGCAATCTTGTCCATCTGCTTCCTCTATGCAGGCCCGTTCTGGCTAATGGCTTCTGGCCAGGCTGACCTCTGGCAATTGCCAAATGGGCTGCTCACGGCCAAGGACCAAGTGCCACCTGCTGGTGAAGCTTGGAATTACATTACTACTATGGGCGATTCTTCATTCATTCAACAAATATTTGAAAAGCCTCCTGTATGCCAGGCACTGTGCTGGACCATGGAGATACAGCAGAGGCCAACACAGCCGGTGTCCTCACAGAACTTGCATGTAGTGGGGATTTATTGCACACAGTGAAGATTTATTAAGCATGTGCCAGACACAGTGCTAGTGTGTGGGATACACTGTAACCACAACAGACACAGATCCTGTACTAATGGAATGTACGGTCTACAGAGGATTTTTAAAGCCATTGTTTCACAATATTCAGTGTTTCTTGAACTAGCCTCACAGCCTAATGATTTTCCCTGCTCTTTTCTCTCTTGTTCTATTATTTTTCTTTAAATTTACACACTGTAAAAAATAGCAGGATTTTGTATTTTATCTATTTTAAAGTATTTTATATTATGAGGTTTTGTACAACATATAAAAAAAGTTGGAAATAATATAACTAACGATCCAGATTTTTCAAACCTTAATATTTTGGTATCTTTTGCTTTTGTTTTTTTTAGTTTAAAATCCCTCCATAAATTTGTCTCTCTCTTCCCAGAGTTAACCACTACCCTGAATTTACTCTTGATTCCAATGTATGTTTTTACGCTATTACTACAGATGCACGCCTCCATAAAATACACAGTATTGTTTTGCATATTTTAAACTCAGATAAGTGATACCATACTGTATTATCCTCCTACAATTTGCTTTCTCCCCTCCTCATTAGATTTTTGAGTCTAGCCATGTTAATATAATCACGTTTATTCGTTTTAACTGTGGTATATTATGCTGCTGTCTGAATAACCACAGTTTATCCATCCTCCTGTTTTTGAACATTTAGATGACTTACATTTTTTTTTTGCTATTGCGAACAGTGCTTGACTCATTTTTCTACACAAATAAATTCATTTTTCAAGGACACTTTGTATCACTATCATAGTTGAAAATAGTACCATTTGGCATAAAAAGAAGGTAATTGTAGGAAAATTGAAATGAAAAGAAAATGTTTTTAAATTCTAATCGTGTCTAACTAGAAGCTCAGCCGTGTGGTGTGTTCTTCCTATTGAAAAGGGAGACTAGCAAGTGTTGAGGGAAGGACCTGGCATGGGGACCCAACCTCAGACTGATTTTTTTTTGCTGATTTAATCAGGCTAGAAAGATCACTGGAAAGGGGATCACTTTCTCACCACGTGACTTGCACTGTTGAATGCTGTGGTTGTGGAAACCTAAAACCCCCTTTCCTAACCTGGGTGTGGCTCATCCATTATTTGGGAAACAGTGGATTAAGTGAAACAAGAAGTATTAAATGTATACCACGTGTCAGGCATTGTGCTAGACACAAAGAGGAATAAGAAAGAATTCTCAAGATAGTCAAGTTGGGGACACCATATGACCATTAACCTGAGATAATCAGGACTAAATGATTGCAGTGGATGGGGAATGGGGAAGGCAGAGGATACATCAGGGGAGGTTTACACAGAGGAGGTAACATTTGGTCTGGAAGTCTTGGAGTACGCAAAGGATTTCAGTCAGCAAAGAGAGGGAAGGCATTCTAGGCAGAGAGCAGTTTAAGCAGAGGCATCAAAATGTGGCCCTATGTGGTGCAATTGCAGGACAACAAATTTTGTAGCCTTGGAGGATCATAGCCTTGGTTGTGGAAGGTTGTGGAGACAGGACAGGGGATGGGGGCAATTAGATTGCATAAGCAGATGGGGGCCTGGCCGGCTTCAAAGGGGCCAACGGAGAGTCAGGGGAGGTTTTTAACAAAGGACCAGTATGATCACATTGGTCTGAAGTGGACCAGGAGCTGTTCCAGGCTGTTAGCCAGATGTGTCCCTAAAGGTTGGACAATGATGCTGGATCCTGAGTTGATGTTTGCTGAGAGGTGTCACCTGGAAGGTTGGGCTCATATGATCTCATGGTGGTACTTTCCAAGGGGTCAGAACCATTAAGTCGGATATGCCCCAGCTAGTCAGACTTACTTGCTTTAGTCAGAGCCAGCTGAATGGTCATCTCTCAGCTGAATGGTCATCTCCCAGCTGAATGCTCATCTCCCACCTTCTGGGCCTCTGCCCAAGATTCTAATATTGGCCTCGAAAGAACTCTCAGAGTCCCCCATTGATTTCCTGAATCTCTCTTGAGTGCCCTTCCAGCCCCAGCCTGGCCGCCCCTGCCTGGCAGCCTTTGATTCTGACCAGGCCTCGCTGTGTTCCTGAAGGCCCTGAGGGCTCTACCACTGGTAGGCAGGGTGGGGCAGGCCGCTGGCTCCTACAGTCAGCTACAAAGCTGTCCCGAGGGCATCTGGGGTGACAGCTGACTCAGGGGGCCTCCTTTGGCTGGGCTCCATGCCATGATCTCCCAGTCAAGTAGGCCCCTCAGTCTGTGCTATCTGGCCACTAACAGACCCTAGTTCTTAGAAAACTCTCAAGCATGCAGTGTGTTTCCTTTTGAAGACCTCCTTGGCCTCTAAGAGGACTTGTCACCACCGCAAGCGGTGGTGACTTCCAAATGCGTGGCTAGTATACCCATCCCTTCCTCCAGTGCATACACTCAGAAAGCCTGCGTATGAGGACCAGCCCCTTCCTCAGAACACGGCAACTTGAGCCCTGACGGGGAGGAGGCTCTCATAGCACCAGGAAGCAGCGGAAGGCCGCGGTCCAGAGAGGCTCCGAGGTGGCCAGGATAGCCCAGCTTTTGGCTGGGAGGACATTCTGGGAGCTCCCTGGGAGGCAGCTCCCCACAACTTTGGGCCACAGGGCTAGAAATGGGCTTCAGCTTTTCTAAGCTGCAGGAATTTATTTTGAATGTTTTGTAAGGCTCCAAAAACCACACAAGCTTTGGGGTCCACTCAAATGTCAAATAAACTCGTAAACGAGACCAGATGCTTACTCTTCCATCCACAGAGGTCACAGGAATGGCCCCCTTCTCTGCACCCTGATTCTCCAGCTCATTCTCTGCTGCCCCACTCAGCCTGTTTCAGTGAGTGCTCAGTAGACAATTTCTGATGGTAATAATGGGGTCCACACAGCCAGGGCCAGGCCCAGGCCCTCAGGAGCTTTCCCCGGGGGGAACCCTTCTAGAGAAGTCAGCCAGGTCCAGGCATTTGGGTCTCTAGATGGAGAGTCAGACCTGGTGAAAGCTGCTGGTGCTACAGGGGCCTCACCACACACCTGAAAGCAAAGTTTGGGTGAGTTGGGTGAGTACCCCAGCAGTTACTACAGACCAGTTTCTCCTGTGGGGGCCCTCAGTGCTGGCACCATAGCTGGGGAAGGCCTATCCCCCATAAAATAAGTTCCATTCGCCTGCCCAAATAAAAAGAGTGTGCTCACTATGCAGAGGCAGCTTAACCCAAGGCCCCAGTTTCATCTTCCTACCGGCTCATCACCTCAAGCCCCTCTTATTTTAAGATTTTATTTATTTGACATAGCGTGAGTGAGAGAGAGAGAGAGAGAGAGAGCACAAGCAGGGGGAGGAGCAGAGGGAGAGGGAGAAGCAGGGTCCCCACTGAGCCAGGAGCCCGATGCAGGACTCGAACCCAGAACCCTGAGATCAGGGCCCGAGCCGAAGGCAGATGCCCAACGGACTGAGCCACCCAGGCGCCCCACCTCAAGCCCCTCTTAAGTAGAAATTCTATAACCCTAGGTCGCTCGGTCTCCCCTTGCACCACGCACCAGCCTGCCTAAGGGCAAGGCTCCTCCCATGCGCATTTGTTGGCTGATGATGCATATGTGTTTCCCGAAGGCTGTTTTATGTATGTTTTCCAGCTTCGCTTAGATAGTCAGCATTTGTGGGGAAAAGGACCACGGTGTTTATTTTTTGGTGAGAGGCAGTGTAGGGTTGGAGCATGACTTAGAGGCGGGGCCACTCAGGTTTGAATCCAGCGCTGACTCATTGTTGAGCCTCGGCAGGTCATTGAACCTCTCTGAACTTGCTTTTCTCATCGTCTGCATCATCACTGTCATTAATTGTCCTAGGGAGTGCCTTCTTTGTGTTAGGGACAACAATCCGGTTAGGCAGGTATTATTCCCTCCATCATACTGCCAGAGAGAGGGAAGTTGCCCAAGACCACGCAGAGAATGACAGTCAGGACTCAACTGTCAGATCTGCGGGATTGCCAAGTTCTTGCCCCGGGGCCACGTGGACTCCCTAGAGGAGCACGGTCTGGCCAGCCTGGCAGGGCTCCCAGCGCCCTGCGCACAGAGGGTGGAACCATCCAAGGGCCTCTGGGCACAGTACCTCTCTGAGCACCCTTGTGCTGACCCCACAGGAGGAATGTCTGCGGGGGACAGTGCTGCCCAGGATGGACAACAGCGAATAGCACCAACCACTGTATCAAACGTGAGTGCCTCTGCCCCACCCACCCTTCTCCCCCTCTCTCCTTCGAGGTTGGCCAGGCCCAGGGACTCCGGAACCTGGAGCAAAGGTGTCTTCCTTGTCTGCCTCTCCAGAATGGAGGCAATGGACGGTGGAAGGGAGATTTTAAAAAGGCCTCCAGCTGAAAACGACTCTCAGATAAAATTCCCCACTTGTGTTTTCAGAGCTTCCTGCACTTCCTGCATTCCCCTCCTGCTGCCCCACTGTGTTGGTACCCCGCTCGCCCTGTCCGCAGGGGCCCTTGGGCGTGCACACACCCCTGTGATCTGCAGCACATGCCTGGCCCCAGAACCTCATTTCTAGGGGCACCATTCACCTTGCGTGCTACGGGAATTGCTACGGGAATCCCCCTTTGCCTTGGCCCCTGCCCCGGCCGGTCCTGGCCTCTGTCAGGCCCCCTGCCGGCATGAGGCTGTCAGATGAGGCTCCGATCCCATGTCTGGAGCAGTCTCCCTTCCTCCTGGCTGGCCCCGATGAGAGCAAAGAGAGTCATCATCTTAGTTATGTGGAAAGCAAGGAGCGAGGCAGGAAGAGCGAGGGCCCCGATGCCCAGGCCTTCACTCACCAGACAGAGGCAGTGCCAACAAGAGCCAGTGGCTACGCGGCCCGCACTTTGTGCCAGGTACACTTTACAAGGCCCATGGGGCAGGGAGGACCACTATCCATTGAGCAAAGAAGGAAACTGAGGCACAGGCAGGTCACTTGTTCAAGGTCACATGGCCTGGAAATGGCAGGATTTGAACTCGGGTGACCTGACTCCAGGGTCCCTCTTCTTAATCACTACACCCTGCGGCCAGATAGCTTATCTGACCTCGTCTTTCCGGGGCTCGCTTTCCGCACCTGTGAGCAGAGAACAGCTACTCCCACCATGCCGGCTACTCAGCTACTCCCACTGTGCTGGCTACTCCTGCTGGTTCACAGCTGAGCATTTGCTCTGTGCCCCCCTGCTGGGCTAAGCTCTGTGCATGTCTTTATCGAGGCTCTCAATAATCCTATGCAGTGGGTATTTAGTCATCATTCCCACTTACAGACGAGGACGCTGAGTCTTGGCTTGTTTGGGAAACACAGCCAAGGTAACGCTACTCCAAGGCCTAGAGCAGGGGCTGGATCCAGGCGGTTTGACTTCAGAACCCCATACTCTTCTCTGTGGGGGTCTGTTCCCTCCCAACCCCAGCTGAGCCCCAGGCCTTCTAGAATTTGGAATCCTCACAGGTAAAAATAGATACGGCATCTTTCTCCTTCACACTCCAGGGCTCCTCTTGAGGTCTTATCAGCTCCCGAGGCCTTTAGGGCTGGCCCGGGAGCCCCGCCTGACTGCCCCTGCCACTACCTTCTGCCAGGCCCTAAGCCTGGCTGCAAAGTCTCAGTCTCCCCAGAACCCCTTCCTGCCCAGCGACAAGCCCCAGGCCCTATTCAGTGTGAGGGTTTCACAGCTTATGGTCTGTGACAAAAACCTGCGGTGTTCCCAGCCCTGATGGATGCCCTCAGCTCTGATTCTGAGACCTCCCGAGATGGGGATGGGATGGGGACACGAAGGGGATGCTGGCTTACCCAGCTCTCGGTGCTGCCTCAAACCCCATAGCCCTGACCCTCTCCCAGCCTGACGGTGAAGCTCAGGCAGAATCGGGTCTTTCTAAGGGTCTCCAGGTAGAGAAACCAAAACCCCCAACTCAAACACAAACAGCGAGGCAGATTTTTCCTCTGAAAATTCTCTCCTTTTCAGGGAGCCTGGATGAGTGGGGCTCTCAGAGGACAGGCCCTCTGTGGCTGGGGGCCGAGATGCGGGAGAGACCTTTGTCCTTCAAAATGATAAAGATGAAGAACAGTGTGCCTTGGGTGGTTTTGCTTAAGGTCACAGACTCATTGGAGGAGGTTCAGAGACTCAAAATCAGCAACTCCCCTGGGCAGAGAAACCAGGGATGTGGGTAGCCAGAGGGTTTCATGCTCAGCAGAAGCTCTGAGGTTGGGCTCTTGGAGCCTGGGCACTGGTATATTTTTAAAGCACCCCAGGCAATTCTAGTCAGGGCTGAAGACCACTGAGCAGGGTTTGGTCAGTCATAGGAAGATGTGCCTTGGGGACCCTAACCCAAATCTGGATGTTCCCACGAATCCTCTGGGATCTTATTTAAAGTGCAGATTCTGGGATGCCTGGGTGGCTCAGTCGGTGAAACGTCTACCTTCAGCTCAGGTCATGATCCCAGGGTCCTGGGATCGAGTCCCACATCAGGCTCTTTGCTCAGGGCGGAGCCTGCTTCTCCCTCTGGCTGCCACTCCCCCCCCTGCTTGTGCTCTCTCTCTCTCTGATAAATAAATCTTTTTTAAAAAATTAAAAAAAAAAAAAAGTACAGATTCTGATTTAGCAGGTCTGGGCTGGAGAGTCTGAGTTTCTAACAAGTTCCCGGGGGCTGCTGCCGCTGGTGCAGGGAACACACTTTGAGCAGCAGAGCCTTGGTGCACCCTGGAGGACCAGGGAGGGATTTGGGGGTGGGAGATGGGGAAGGGGGTTGGTATGTTCTAGTGAGCTTGGCAGAGAGGGTTGCTGAGATTTGAGTTGAAGCTGGAGCAGAGTGGCTTCAGAGGGCGTTGGCCTCTCACCAGCTGCCGGAGGGCTCTGGGCCTGGGCCTTGCGCTCCCGCCCTCCAGCGCTGGAGGTTCTCGGTTTCCTAACTTGTTCATGATTTTCCTGTGGTAGTCTCTGCCAAACTGGAGTTTTGACGCTGGAAACTCAAGGATGGGTGAGTCGGCAGATTGTCAGAAGCAACGTGTGTGTGTGTGTGTGTGTGTGTGTGTACCCTTGTGCCCCAGCCGGAGGATGCTCCAGCATGCTGCCAAATCCCGCTCCAGCCTGGGAGTCCTCAGCACCCCTATTCTCTCCCGGTCATTCCCCCACTAGACCCTGGCCCGCAGGCTGGCAGCCCTCCTGGAGGAACTGCCAGTAGGCATTAGCCTTTCCCACTTGAAGTTGCCTTGCCCACAGAAGGGCTGTGTGCTAATTAGCTGGGCCTTGTGCTGTTTGCTTGTTGCTATTTTGCTGCTAAAGAGCCTAACGAGAACCACGTGGGCGGTGGGGTGTTGGTTCTGTAGAATGTGGGGCTCTTGGCTCCACACCCTGTCAGCTGGCCCTCCTGCTCCTCCCACCACCTGCCTGGTGGTTAGTATCTTCCTCTCCCCTCCCCACCGCTGCCCTCCTGGCTGGAGCCAAGAGTGCCAAGGCTGGGGAATGCTCAGCACTCTTTCCTAGCACTTTCACACATGTGGGGTGCTTCCCTGGCCAGCAGGAGAGGGGCCGACAAGGAGGGGTGGGTGACCTACCCCCGCTGCCAAGAATGAAGTCTAGTCCCAGAACCCTGTGGAGACTCAGTCTGTCCCCTGGTCTCTGCCAGAAATCTGTGGGTCTGACCCACTACTCAAGTGCAGGGAGGGATGGCCCTTGCCCCCTGGGCCGCCGCCCTCCTACCTCCTCTCAGAGAATCCTCAGCTGCTGTGACCTCCCCGTCCATCTGCCTGGCAGGCCCTTTCCTTCGTCCCTGTCCGGTCCCTGGACCTCAGGGAGCCACTGCACCTGCAGATGGCCATTGTTGGAACCCCAGCTCCTCACTCCACCTTGGCAAGGTCAGAAGTTGGGCTCTCATCTCCTCCTCTGGTCATGGTATCTGCCTTCCCTTCTGTGTCTTTGCCAGCTCTGCTACGGGGTTTATGTGTTTATGTATTTGTGGAGGCAGCTGCCGGGGGCCTGCCTGAAGTCCTTCCTGAGCGTGGGCACTGTAGAGTGTGGGCTGACTGGATCCTGTTTATAGTTAGGGCTTTTGGGAGACTGTCCAGCCTTCCCAGACTGGCTCACCCCCATCGCCACCCCAACACACACACAAGCTTTGGGGGCTTCTGAAAGCTCACACTGGGGAGGAAGATTTGAAGAATTCTTTGATTTCTCATTTTCTCTCAGCCTAGATGCACAGAGGCTATTCTGGGCAGGGCAGAGGGGGTCCCGAAGCTGTTGAGGAGGGGGGTAGGTGGGTTACTCCACCATCTCCACCACCAAGCAGTAAGGCTCAAGGTTAAGAGCATGTGCTTTGGATTCTGGTGCCAAATCCAAGGAGCTGTGGATCTGAATCCCAGCTCTGTGTATCAGACAAGTGACTGGCCCTCTGCTTCCATAGAGCCTCAACCATAAAATGGGTATAACAATCTTTATAGTGTTGTTTTTGAGGATTAATAATAACACTGTAGCTATTACTGTGGGTCGGGTACTATTCAAGGGACTTGATATTGTTAATTTTTAATCCTAACAATCCTCTAAACTAGATTTGGTCTTTCTCCCCATTTACAAATGAGGTTAGCTATTCGCCCAAGTCATGCATCCAGGAATCAGCAGAGCCTGGATGTGAATCCAGGTAGCCTGGCTCTGGAGTACTGGGATCATGCTCCTGATAAATGGGCAAGTCTGAGTAGAGAGCCTGGCACATGGTGAGTTTAGCTGTCATTTTAATCCACATCCAGGAGACTGTGCTGACTACCTGGATTTAAATGCAAGCTCCACCCCTTAGCTATGTGGCCATGAGCAAGATGCTTATGCTCTCTGTGCCTCAGTTTCCTCACCTGTAAAATGTGCCTAGTGTTAGTCTCTACCTCACAGAGTTATAAGAGACAAATGAGATAACTCAGGTTAAAAGTTTAGTCCAAGGCCTGGCATGTTCTCTATGCTCCATACACGTTTGGCCTTGACGCCGAGGGCAGGGACTGTGTCACATGGCCCTCGGCATGCCGCAGTGGCAGGTGCTCATTGGACACAAGGGAAAGGCTCAGTAAGCACGTACTGAATAATGCAGGGCCTATCCCAGGACTATGCCGAGAGGTCCCCTTTTGCTACCTCACTTTTATCAACCCTTCCAGAAAACTCAGGAGATCCTGGAATGGGCCTTAGCATCTGCTCCTGCCTTCTTGGTCCAGAGCCTCTGAGTGCATGG